GCACACACACAGGCACACACACAGGCATACACATACAGGCACACACACAGGCACGCACACACAGGCACACAGATCTGACTGTGGTGTGCCCTAGCACCCTGAGCAATGATTGAAGCTATTTATTTTCTCCCCTTTCGAGGTCCTAGAGAAGATTTTAGAATTTCTAATACAGGAGACTGAGAAGGGAAAATATTGGCTTCAACAGTACAAACATCTCTGTCCTGAAAGAAAATGTTAATTTTCCCCTAAATCAAATGTTGACATCTATCGGCTGCTGCCGAAGATGTGTTACTATGGGTGGGAGAAGGTCTCTGCTCCAGAGCGTGGGTATTGAGCCAGAGTCTGTCCTCTGAAATGCTAACTGGTTTAGAATCTAAACAGGCTTGGTTTAGAGGTTTCATGAATCGTTCCAGTTAGTTTTTAAAAAGCTGATCTCTCTGGGATGCCCTCCTGAGCAGGGAAGCAGGGGCCAGGGTTCCCTGCTGGGGAATGCGATCTTTCCTGCAGAAGCCTGGGCCCCTTCTGGGTGTCTGCAGTGATGCAGGCACTGCTTACCTCTGCCGCGAGATACAGGCTTTTAACTGGAGATGGGAGTGGGCAGTGGGAAAGGGCCAGCTGAGTGGAGAGAGGATGGAAACCACAGGCAGAGGGAAATTTCCAGAGTTAGGTGCTTTACCTACCCTTTTCCCCACTGCCCCCAAAACACACGGTGTAAATACTCTTCTTTGTTCAACACCTATGTTTTTAAAATTCCAAATTGAGTTCCCCCACCCACTCTCTCCCTCCAACTAGTCACACACACACAGACGCACACACACACACACACACCCTTTTCACTTGTTAAGCTTGAAAAATGATGATATATACAACCAGCGCGCTTTGCCAGTGTGCACGGCGAAGGCCAAGATTAATGCAGAAGGTTGGTGCAACGTTGCCGCAGAGCAGCGTGATCAGAATACAAGATGGAGTGCAGGGGGAAAGGCCAAGAAATATGTCTGTGCTTGGAGTTTACACAAGTCTCCTTAGCAACTTGTCTGAATTTATTTTTCCCTTAATGTGTGTGGGTTTCTTCCAAACCCTGAGTGAAAGGGGAGTGGAGTTTCTGAGTCCCCCCACCCTTCCCCTTCCCTGAGGGTGAAATCCTTGAGTTGGTGAGCAGAGCCTTTCTCTCCTTCACCAGCAGCGCCTGCCTGCCGCTCCCCTCCCCCGTCGAGGTAGCTCTGATCCTCTGCTTTGTGACTCTGTGGACTGTTGGTAGCTTTCCAGAAATTCTCGTCTCCATCTCCGTGGGGGAAGGATGGGACCAGTCTCTGACGGCCACAGCTGTGCGGGTTTCTGCCGCAGCGCCCCGCTCCTGGTGCCTGCTCCGGGAGTGGCATTCACGGACATGTGCCTGTTTACACACCAGCATGTTGTAAACTAAGGGGGAAACAGCACCGCTCCTTCCATCTCAACTATTTTTAAAAAATTTTTCTGTCTTGTTCATTTCCCTTTCTGTCTTTCATCACCTCCCAACACACACACACACACACACACACACACACACGCACAAGATCCTGTAATTCTAACTAGAAGATGAATATAAAGCTATGAGAAAAAAAAACAAAACCCTGCCTTTTAGGAATCTGATATGTTGGATTTTATGTGACCCAGGCTTGCTTCAGGGGAGACGACCATAAATACTGTAGTGGTTTTTCCCTACAACCGCTTTACCTGGAAATAACTCTCAGGCAGTATGATTGCTGCCTTGTTGGAGCCAATGTTGAATATAAATCTTCATATTTCTTCTTCTTGACCCCTCTCCTTTTAGAGTCAGGGGAAATAAGAAAAAAAAAAAAAAGGAATCCTAGCCAAAAAACCGTGAAGGTTTGAATCTGGCTTTTTTACAAACAGATGTTGCTTGTCATTCTGTTGTTAAGTAGGCACCAGATTGGACCAGGCAGCAGTGTGTGTGTGTGTGTGTGTGTGTGTGTGTATGTGTGTGTGTGTGTGTGTGTGTGTGTATCTGTGTGTGTGAGAGAGATAGAGAGAGAAAGAGAGAGAGGGACAGAAGAAGGAGGGAGGGTAGGGGGACGGAGAGAGAGAGGCTTGGAGGAGAGAGAAGGAGTGTGTTGGGGGATAGATCAAGGGCCAGAAGGCAAAACCAGCTTGATTTGGGGAAAGTTGAGATAATATAGATGCAGATTTTTTTTTTCTTTCCAAACTTTAATTTGATGGAGACTGTATAAAATCCTATTCTATTTGGTTAGTTTTTGTTGTTCTGAAAGAAGGGAGAAACATGGGGATCAGTAGATGTGAAGAGCCCTGGATGAGAAGAACGAAGCTCTCCTGGGGTGCGGCGCAGAGAGAGGGCTGGAGGCTCCCCTGGAGGCATCTCTTCCCTGGAGTAAGGCAGAGGTCCCTGTTTCAGTTAAACGTAGTTTCTTGTGTCTGCTGGTCTCTTCTTTTTGTAAGCATCACTGTGGAGGTTCCAGGCGCTTTTGTATTTTTCCCAAAACATGAATCTCCTGTTTTACAGCCAAGGTTCTAAGGAACACTGACTCTTAACCTATTGCCTATCTCCTTTCTTGAAGCATCCAAGCGCTCTGAACTTCAGTCTCCACCCCCACCCCGCCCCAGCCGCCCTGTACCCATATTAATTTGTAACTTTCTAATCCAATTGTGGTCTGCTTTCTCAAAAGCAAAACATAGCTTTGAACATGCAAGTGTGTTAGAATAGCCTGGCATATAGAAAGCTTTGTGCAGCAGATAATTCATTTATAACCCAAGAAATGACAGACATCTGATTTTTTTTTTTTAATATGTCTTCATGTTTCCATACCAGAATCAGGGTCTTCTCTGTTTTTAAAATTTTTGATTCTTGTAAAAGCCTTTTGACTTTATTAACCTAGAGCTAGAAAGGAAGTTGTAGGCTGGCATCCTTACTTGCTTTTTAAAGAGGAGGAGAAATCGCCATCCTGAGCAAACTTCATGCTTCCAAAAGTGAAAGCGTCCTCAGCCAGCTGCACACGGAGTAACTTGTTACTGGCCGGCTCTCTCCCTTTTGTTTCCTCGGGTGTGTCAAAAGCAAATTTGCTTCCAACTTGTCACTCTTCAGTAGTTGGTCCCTGTTATACCTCTGTTGTAAATGAACACTTAGTGGGCTTAAGATCGTTTTAAAATGATCCCCCCCCCTGCCTTGCTGCCAAAAAAGTCCACTACTCCAATAATCTGAGGACATCTTTTGTTTTAGAACCATCTATTTTATCCTATCACGCCATTTTTCATGTCTTTGTTCCTTAGCCGACCTAGTCACACTTTCATTTTGCATCGTACGTAAAATATTCATTTTTTTTTTTTAATACAGGGAGCGTTTGGTAGGAAGGTTATAAATAGCAATTCCTAATTTTCCCTTTGCCCGAAAGGAACGCAAAACCATGGCATTGCTTTGCCAATCTCCTCCCCCCCCTTTCTGGTCAGTTTTTCCTGAGGAGAGAAGGATTCCTTCTACCTAAGCTGGCTGGCCGGGGTGCTGGAAGCCTCTGCGTGGGGTGCTCCCACCATGGAGGCTGGTGTCCTGGTGGCCAGATCGCAGGTAGAGAAAACATGCTGGGATGCGGGGCACCCATGAATTACTCTTGGAGCAGCACTTGCCGATGCACCTCTTTTGTTGAGGTGATTGGATCTTTCTATAAAGGGCCGCAGAGGGTGAGAGAAAAGACATCAGGAGAACTGGAAAGCCACAGGGAGACCAGGAGTAGCTGTCTCTCCTGCTTCGTTATGTTGAGTTAATGCCAAGGGTAGACTTGAGCTCTCTCTCTCTCTCTCTCTCTCTCTCTTTCTCTCTCTCGCCTCACCTTCCCCTCCCCACCCCGCTTTCTCCTGCCCTTCCTCCTTCTGTTTCTTCCTCTTCCTTCTCTCCCTCTCTTCCTCTTTCTCCATCTCTCATTTTCTAAGTCTCTTTCCTTTCTTTTTCTCTGCCTCCTCCCTCCCTCCCTTCCTTCCTTCTTTCTCCATCTCTCACTTTCTAATTCTCTCTCTTTTTCTGTCTCTTTGTCTCCTTCCTCTCTCCCTCCCTCCCTCTCTTTCTTTCTTTCATAACAGGTTGAAATTGCTCTTTCTTTTCAGCTGAACTGCTCTTTTCTGCCAGGACAAAGGAGATCTGCTGAGATTCTGTACGAGGGATCCCTCCTAAACAGAAGGAGGGTGGAGGGCAGGGAATCTTTCTGTCTGTGTCATTCTGCTGACATCACCATGAATTTGGTGTTCAAGTCCACAGCCAGGCAAAACTCAAGTACATTTTCCCTTTTATAAGCAGCTGCTCAGTGCATTTTCCTTCCTTTAGTAAAGGAACAATGAAGGAAAAGCAAACCCTGCATCTAAAACCTGGCCAATGAAAAACTGTTGGAATGGAAGCCAAGAATCCTGCTGGGGTGGAGGGGGACAGACTCCTGAAGCCACCACAGTCAGATATTTTACTTCTATTTTAGCGGCCCCATCAGCAGAGAGAAATAATGACTCCTGAATCATTTCAGAATCAAAAAGTTAAAATGATGTCTCAGTGACGCTACATCGTGCCAGGTAATGATTGCCCAACTTGATTATACCTTAACCATGCTTAATTATTGATAGGCTATCTCTTAATCATGTTTAGGCAAATGAGCAGTTTGGTATAAAACATCAGAATTTGGGAGTATTCCGAGACATCCCATTCCTATTTGATCATTTTTCTGGTAAAATCGTTCTCAAGCTTCATCAGTAGCCAGGGAAATTCCAGGAAAAATATGAAAGTGACTTATTTGCAGAACCTTTCTATCATGTGTAGTTCTGGAAATGGAGAAAACATAATGCAGCCCAGTGTTTTTCTAGAGTTACTTTTATTTCAGTCTTTGGTGTTCTTTTTACTTTCATTTTGGCATTAATTCTAGTTTAGCTTTGTAAAAAGAGTTGGGTGACAAAAAGAAACCAACCACAAACCAAGCAAAGAATCTTGATCCTTTTAAAATAATTTTATTTTCCAGACGCCGGTGAATGGTTTGAAGATGCTGGCCTAGCAAGATGGCAACAGGTTTAAAAAATAGGATTCATAAGAAGTTCCTTTTTTCAGGTAACTGCATTTTTCTAAAATTTCTCCCAAACCTTCCATTTCCTTAAGTTATTACAAGTTTATAGAGTATGCTTGAATGATTTAATTATGAAGATTAACTGCATTTTAAGCTTTGTTTTTCTGACAATAGTAACCAGCTTTAGAATATTCAGTGAAAAGAACATTCAATTCTCTGAAGTTCAGAAAAATATTTTGAATGTTATTGTTTAATAGTGCTTATTTCTTTTGACAACAATTTAGGCAAAACTCACTTGAAACCATCAGGTGTCATTCTTAAACTCTGTGGCTATCTTCAGTAATTGTACTTAGAAGTATTAGAAGATTGCTTCTAAAAAGCCTAGTGTATGCTTTGAATTCCTGGAAGATATGGCTTCTAAAAATTGTGTAATCATCGATGCTTTGTAACATAATAATTGCGTAACAGTTGATGTTTTAACTTTAGTCCTAGATGAGTAATCTAATATGTCTGGAATTTTATAAAACTGTGCTTACACAGGTCCAGTGACAAAGATTTAAGCTCAGCTATCATGATATAAGTAGATTCTTTTTGATGCTGTTGAAGGACTTTGTGCCACTTAAATATGTTTAATAACACAAATGATATATTTACTTGATGAATTACCTTACCCTGAGTTTACCATTGTTTTTAACTATTAGCCTGCATTTCCCAACTTAATTGTTACTATCTCCGAGAGCCCTGCAGAATCTTGCTTAAGAAAGCAGGCCAAACTTTGCTCTGAAAAGAGCCCTTATTTTTCTGTTCAACACAAAGAAGGTTCTTGAAGGAGGTATTCAATTAATATTGGGAGGAAAATGTCTCTTCCCAAATAAACCATTCTTCTACTAGATCGGTATTTGACTTTCTTTTTTTCTGCAACCTAAGCATCTTCTGATTGCTCTTTTACTTTTTAAAAGTAAAACTCTAGATTATTTGAAAGTTAACATTACAAAGCCTTTAGAATGAATAACTTTTTTCTGTCCTATATTTTCCAAAAAAAAAAAAAAAAAAAAAGACAGAGGCCCCCAATTGAAACTAACATTTACAAAGTGATTAGTTCTTGAATGACTCAGTGTAATACTTTGACAGATCTTCATCCATCGCTGACGAGTATTGCATGCTGTATTTTTAACAAATGATAACAACAATTAGTTCTCATTACTCTGCGAGCCTAAGCCTATTCCTTTTTATTTTAATAAGAGCCCCAGTGTCACACCCGTTCCAGCCATCCTCAGCGGTGTTCAAAGTGCCCATCCTCAAATACCTCTGGCCCCATGCCCTTGTCAGGGAGATCAAAGGAAAATAAGAGGCTTGGCATTTATTTTAAAATCTTTTATTTTATAAAGGAAATGAACATTTTAAAATAACAGAAAGTCCAAACCATTTTTGAAGTGACTGGTTTGGATCCTGCTTGCTTCCACTTGGGATTGTTGTTTCTTTGGATCTAAAAGTCAAGCCACGGAGCTGCGACTAAATTCTCCGTCTTGGCAATCTTCACAGTCATGCCCGCGGCTCCACCACGATTAAACAGGCAGACAAGGAAGTGTCTATGAATGGTTGCCTCTTCATCCCTGTTTGACCCACTGTTGGTTTCCTGCTTTTACCTTTTAAATTGTGTGCCTAGGGGCCTCCTCTTTTCTCTGAATAATTCCCAAATTCATCTGTCTTTTTTGTTATTACGAGAGCCTCCTACATTCTTGAGATAGGAATAAATGTTCATATATCAAGGCAAAGTTCTATTTTTTTTCTTTGAGAACCAAAATCTATAGACATTGCTGACAAAAATTGAGAAGAGCTCTTTTTAGGTCCTACAAAGAGATGGAGGCATATGTTTTTCCCAACTTCTCAGAACAGAGGTGATTTTGCTTTCCATCATTTGTCCTTGAAATACTCATGCTTAAGACTATGTCCTCAATAAAATTCATGAAAGGAGTCATTAATGAAAGATCATTGTCTTGGCTGCCCCATTCTTACTTGTAGAACATTGGTTTTGAAGAAAGAATGTTATGCTGACAAAACGCTTTTATAAGAAGTCCTTAGAAATCCATTCATTCCCACAACCTGGAACAGTTATGCAGGGAGCCACTATACAATTTCTTTTCTGGTTCAGATTTTATAAAGTATGTCTAAACTTGCTCAGTGTTGGTGTTTGGACCAATAATGGGGGTGGGGTGAAGGTGAAATATAAGCTTTTCCTGAAGAGGAATCTTCCAAATTAATAGAACTGGACATCTCCTCGCATAATTTTCAGAAAATACTTACAAGCCTGTTGGCGGTGCTTGCTAGTTTACTACTACTGTTTTGTGGAAAGCACATTGGAAGAAGATGGTGTGGAAGCACACCATCTTTCTTTTCATGTAATTACAGGTATTTAAAAGAATGAACTTGCATTTGGGCTTGCCTATGTTTCTCTCTTTCTCTCCCCATAATTGAAAGACTTTTCTTTATTCTGCTGTTTTGCCATCCGTATGTCACTATGTTCAGTTTGTGTGTTAAGGTCGGAATGAATGAGTCTTCTGTAATATGAAACAGTGAAATGATGAGATTGACCCCAGAGCCCACTGTGTCTGTGGGGGAAAGTGAAAAGGGAGAGAAATGTATGGGGGGGAACACAGAGATGCTGCTCGACTTTTGCCCTTTTAAGAGCAGAACGAAGTCTCTCCATTTCTGGCATGAAACGATGGAATGGCAGAGTCTTTGGTTGGACTAACGATGTTAACATTTCATTTTCAGACATATCAGACCCCCACACGAGAGAAGATACTAAGGCCTGTTGCCACAAACCCGTAGATCCGAACTTGTGGTGATAGTCCACACAAGCTTGTGTCTATAGGTATGTGTCTGTGGGCGATCTCACAGACCACGGGCTCTGCTTGTCTGCCATCCAAATCCCTCCCATTTCCTTGATTCTGCCTCCCTTTCCCTTAGTTTCTGCTATGAGGGGTAGACGTGGAAAGAGGAGCCAGTGAGAAGGAAGGAGACCTTTTGTCCCGAAATGGATGAGGCTCTTCAGTGATCAGTCTATAGGTTCACCCTCAGGCCCTTCTCTCTTCAAAACTCCTCTCAAGCTGTCAAACCAAGAACCTGGGCTTGCAGGCAAGGCAGCAGGAACTGGGGTGACTGAGACAATTTACTGTTGAGCGGTGAGTAGACACATATATAGGGGTTTGTTTTGTTTTCTGTGAGCCTGCCTAATTGCTTTCAAAGTTGTCATGATCTTTTTTGGAAAGTGACAGAGACTTGTGTACAAGACCTGTTTCATCCTGGTTTGGGTTCTACCTTACAGCAGTTCTTCGTCTCCCACTGTGCTCCAAGTGCCATCAAATCAGTCTTTATCTTTAAAAATAAAATTAACGCGGGGAATGGATGTGCCTAACTATTTATACTTCTGGACTGACCATGTAAGAAAAAGAATTTTTTATAAAAAAGAAATGGCCCATTTAGGTCCAGCTTCATATTTGTCCAGAGCTGTTTTATAACTCTTCACCATGTTTAAAAGGCTGGAATGAAAATAATTCTATCCCCTTGCCTCTTAAATGTCACCATTGTGCCAGGATTGGAAAGCCAAACTGACTCCAGATCAGAGCAAAACTGGCTATATTTGTCTCATTCCAACAATGTGAGCTGAAGACTCTGTAAACAGAACCCAGGGTGAAAAGTTGATTAGATTTGGATGACTCCAAAACTTTTGCATTCCGTTTTGGTCAAACATAGCACCAAGAATCCCCTTAAGATATAGATATATAGATATCTGTATCTATATATGTCTATAGATTAAGCCTCATTTAACAAAAATAGTCAATATGAAGTAGTTACTGAGTTAGCATCAGCAAAAAGTTTGACATTCAAATGGATACTTTTTTTTTTTTCACTAAATGCTGTCTTCTCCTAAGAGCCACACAGTTCAGGGGTAGATAGTGCTCTTTCTTCTATCAAATGAAATTTTGTATGTCAGAATTAGAAAGGCCCAGATATAGATGGATGTTATTTAAAGAATACCAAGCTCTGCAGACGCTACATCATGAGGGGGTTGTCTGTATGTGTTTGCTTTGTGTTTGCTCTGCAAAGCATTGAGGAAGGCAGTTTGTAGATCTCAACTTCCAGCTTGGCAAGAAATCAGAGCTTTATTCTAGAATGATGGAACATTACATCCCAAAGAAAAAGTCTGTCCCCATTGGCGTGTAGCATGTATAATTGTTTGCCCAAGGCCTTTATCTACCCATAAGCAAGCAATCTATTTGGTTGGTTTTACATGCCTCTTTGAAGCGGTTGACTTAGAATGATGCAAATTAAACCTGAACCTTCCCTGAATAAGTGCTTAGGTTTTATAAAGGCAAAATCACATCTCTACACTTCATCCCTTTAACATGCTATTAAATGTGCTACCAGTGGGACCAGTAGTACATTCATGAATCCAGGGGATGCTGAGCAGTCTAAATTCCCTCTATAGGAACAATGTTAAGACTGCAGGGTGACCAGTAGGTGACTATCAGTTCATTTCTTTTAAGGGGGTTTTAAAAACCCATCACCCTAAGAATAAAGATTATGCAAAGTAGTCCATCTTTTCAAAGTTTCTAAAAGGCCTAGGATATGATTCTTTGATTCACCTGGCTAGAAAATATTCTAGTGGAAAGCCCAAAGCCCCTGGACACTGGCCACAAGAAACAGGATATTAAATATTTTACAGGATGATGAAATTCAGTATTTTTCCCTTCTTCTGTGTTCATGAATGAATGGTTCTGTAGCTATTAATTATTCCCTTGGGACTCACTCAGAGTGGACTAGATATTTTACAGGAAACTGCAGAAAGTAAAATAACTTCAGGTTTTCCTGAGAAAGACTCTAAATTTTAGAGTCTAAAATATATATTCAGTAGTCATTGCTGCATGAGGGTATAGAGAAAATGGGTATAAAATGAACTTTTTCTATTAAAATTCTCAAAGTCTCATTATCAAAATATATTCTTAAAGCTATACCACCAGGATACAGTTTAGATTT